CACCTGGCTACGTTTACACGTCGGCCAGGGTCGAGCCTGTACACACTGACCACTGCTTCTCCTCCAGGTGCTGCGTCTGGTAGAGTCCCTTCGTCTGGTCAGGTGTTTGCTGCAGCGTCCAGGTCTGGTCCTGAGTCTGCCCCCTGTTCGTGTCCTCGTCTGTCTCACGAGACCCTCCTCTGGCACCACCGCCTTGGCCACCCCTCTCTGCTTCGGCTCAGAGGCATGGCCTCGCGGGTCCTTGTGTCTGGTCTTCCCCGGTCCCTCCCTCCCCTTCCTCCGGGCCCTGGCCCTGCCTGTGTCCCCTGTGTCGAGGGGCGCCAGCGTGCTGCCCCTCACTCCTCCCAGTTTCCTCCGACAGAGGCCCCGTTGCAGACGCTCCACATGGACGTGTGGGGCCCAGCCCGCGTCCGTGGACAGGGTCAGGAGCGCTACTTCCTGCTGGTGGTTGACGACTACTCGCGTTACACCACAGTCTTCCCCTTGCGCAGCAAGGGTGAGGTCACTGAGGTGTTGATCGCCTGGATCCGCGCAGCTCGTCTTCAGCTTCGGAGGAGCTTTGGCTCTGACTTCCCTGTTTTGCGTCTGCACTCGGACAGAGGCGGAGAGTTCTCCTCTGGCCTCCTGAGTGCCTACTGTCGTGTGCGAGGCATCCGTCAGACCTTCACGCTTCCGGACTCACCACAGCAGAATGGGATTGCTGAGCGCCGCATTGGCATGGTCATGGACGTCGCTCGTACGTCCATGATGCATGCGGCTGCTCCCCATTTTCTGTGGCCGTTTGCGGTCAGGTACGCTGCGCACCAGATCAACCTCCACCCCAGGGTCTCTCGACCAGAGACCTCCCCAGCCCTGCTGTGGACGGGGAAGGTTGGCGATGCGTCGGCGTTCCGGGTCTGGGGATCTTGGGCGTTTGTTCGCGACCTGTCTGCGGACAAGCTGTCCCCTCGTGCTTCTCCCTGCGTCTTCCTGGGGTTCCCCCCCGACGCCCCTGGGTGGCAGTTTTACCACCCCACCTCTCGACGTGTTCTGTCCTCCCAGGACGTCACGTTCGACGAGTCGGTACCCTACTACCGCCTCTTCCCCTACCGCACTCCGTCCCTCCCCCCGCCCCCGCTCTTCTTGGTACAAGGCCCCCCCCCGGTAGTCCCCCTCCCCCCTTAGGGTCCTGCCCCTTCAGGTGTGTCCCAGGTAGACGCGGTCGAGCCTGTCGAGGTCACTGGTGACTCTGGTGCTGCTGCTGGAGCTGAGCCTGAGGGTGCGGGGTCTGGGGGTGCTGAGCCTGGGGGTACTGTGCCTGGGGGTGCTGAGCCTGGAGGTGTCGAGCCTGGGGGTGCTGTTCCTGGGGGTGCTGAGCCTGGGGGTGCTGAGCCTGGGGGTGCTGAGCCTGGGGGTGCTGTGCCTGGGGGTGCTGAGCCTGGGGGTGCTGAGCCTGGGGGTGCTGTGCCTGGGGGTGCTGAGCCTGGGGGTGCTGAGCCTGGGGGTGCTTCGTCTCGCCGGGAGCCACTCTCCCCACAGGAGTTGCGTGAGTGGTTTACCAGACGCTGGAGGCGTGCTGCTGGTGCTGGTGGTTCTTCGCCTGCAGTGGGTACTGCTGCCGCGCGTCCCGACGGTGCTCGTACTGTGGGTGCTGGAGCTGCTCGGTCTGAGAGTTCTCCTAGAGCTGGTGCTGCTGAGGGTGTTGGCGCTGAGCCTGCCGCTGGTGGTCCGACTGACAGTGCTCCTGGTGCTGCTGCTAGGGGTTCTGGAGCTTCTGGAGGTGCTGCTGGAGGTGCTGCTGGCGTGGGTGCTCCTGACGGGGGGACTGGTGCTGTTCCTGCTGTTTCTGGTGTCGCCGTGCGGCCTCGACCGTACTTCGTTCCGCTCCTACAGCAGGTTCTTGGTCTTGCACCTCCTCCTGCTTCCTTAGAGGGTCCACAGCCTGTTCGGTCACAGCCACAGCTACAGCCTGCCTCCCCTTTGCCTGCTCCTTCTCCCTACGCTGGTCCGACTGGAGGTCTTACTGAGCGTCGTGAGCCTGCGTCTCGTCCTGCGTCGCCTGTTCGTACTGAGCGCGCTAGTGGTCGCGGGTCGCGTCAGCGTCCTCCTCCTGTCCCTGGCACGCACCGGATGTCACTGCGTCCGTCCACTGCTCCTCTGCGTGCCCCTTTGCCTTCTCCTCCTGCTTCCTCTCTTCCTGCTCTTGCCGACCCGGAGTCGGACTCTCTTCGTGCTGCCAGTCCTACTGTCACGCGTCTCCTTGCTACTGCAGTCACTGACCCTTCCTTTGAGTCGTCTGCTGCGTCTGCCCTTGTCACTGAGCTTGTCGACTTTGCTGCGCGCTGTCGTCTAGACTACGCTGCTCGTCTTGTCGCTGAGTCTGAGTCCGCCTGTCCTCCGTCCGTCGGGGGTGAGTGTGCCCTTGGCACGGACGTCCTAGAGGACAGGCAGGAGGAGTTACAGTGTCTAGCGGCTGCTTCACCTCATCTCGCGTCTGTACTGCTTGCCCCTGAGGGAGACCCGGATGCACTAGACATCCCGACTCCGCGTTCTTACGCGGAGGCCGTAGAGGGTCCCTACTCCTCTCAGTGGCAGGCAGCTATGGATGCAGAGATGGCTTCCTGGAAGTCCACAGGCACCTACGTTGACGCGGTTCCCCCTCCTGGGGCGAACATCGTCAGTGGCATGTGGATCTTCAGGGTGAAGCGGCCGCCGGGCTCCCCGCCTGTCTTCAAGGCGCGTTACGTGGCTCGTGGCTTCAGTCAGCGGCAGGGAGTTGACTACTTTCAGACCTTCTCTCCCACCCCGAAGATGACCACTCTTCGGGTGCTGCTGCACATTGCCGCTCAGCGCGACTACGAGCTTCACTCCCTCGACTTCAGCACTGCGTTCCTGCAGGGTAGCCTGCACGAGGAGATCTGGCTGCGCCGTCCGCCTGGCTTCACTGGGACTTTCCCTCCTGGCACCCAGTGGAGCCTCCGACGGCCAGTCTACGGTCTCCGCCAGGCACCGCGTGAGTGGCACGACACACTGAGGACTACGCTTGCGGCTCTTGGGTTTGCTCCTTCTACTGTTGACCCGTCGCTGTTTCTTCGCACCGACACTTCCCTGCCGCCGTTCTACATCCTCGTGTACGTCGACGACTTGGTCTTTGCCACAGCGGACACTGCTGGACTCGCCTACGTGAAGTCCGAGCTGCTGAAGAGACACACGTGCACAGACCTGGGTGAACTGCGCAGCTACCTTGGCTTGCAGATCACTCGGGATAGAGCACGCCGCACCATTACCCTGACTCAGTCACACATGGTGCAGCAGGTCCTTCAGCGCTTCGGCTTCACGTACTCCTCGCCTCAGGCCACTCCTCTGCCTACTCGCCACTCACTCTCAGCTCTGCCTTCGGATGAGTCCGTAGAGTCGAGTGGTCCGTATGCAGAGCTTGTTGGCTGCCTCATGTACCTGATGACCTGCACACGACCTGACCTTGCATACCCTCTGAGCATTCTTGCACGCTATGTTGCTCCTGGGAGACACAGACCGGAGCACATGGCTGCAGCGAAGAGGGTATTGCGCTACCTGTGCAGTACGTCGGGCATGGGGCTAGTGCTTGGAGGGCGGAGTCCAGTGGTCCTTACCGGCCACGCGGACGCTTCTTGGGCTGACGACCAGGCTACGCAGCGGTCGTCACAGGGTTACACCTTCAGCCTTGGTTCCGGTTCTGTCTCGTGGCGGTCTACTCGCTCGTCTTCGGTTCTCGGCTCCAGTTGTGAGGCTGAGATCTACGCCGGGGCCATGGCTGCACAGGAGCTTCGCTGGCTCACCTACCTGCTCACCGACCTTGGAGAGCCGCCTCGTTCTCCTCCAGTGCTGTACGTAGACAACAAGGCCATGCTGGCCTTGTGTCGAGAGCAGCGCTTGGAGCACAGAACGAAGCACATTGCTCTCCGCTACTTCCTTGCTCGTGAGCTGCAGCAGCGTGGTCAGTTGCGACTTGCTTACGTGGCCTCTGAGGCCAACACTGCTGATGTGTTCACCAAGGCACTTGCGCCTTGTGACCATCAGCGCTTTTGTACCCAGCTGGGTCTTGTACCTGTCTTGCCTCACTTGCTCTCTTCTTGACTTTACTTGTACTTTGTCATATATATACCTGCTCCTACTTGTCTAGTTTTATATATATGTCTGTACTCCTGCATGTGAACTGGCCTCTGGCCCTGCTCTTGTGCTCGGACTGTGTGGTGACTTTGTGATCCACCCTGAGCTTGCTTTGCTTTGCTTTGCTTGACTGGTCTTGTGACCCCTTGTTCTCCCCCACTTTGCCTATGGGGGTGTGTCAGATTATTATAGCTGATGCATGTTTGTAGGCCATAGTGGGGTAGCACATATGGGGTACAGTTTGCTAGGGTTGTATTTGTACCCAACTCTGACTTAGTCAATTCATTCCTGTTCAGTTAGTTTCACAGTTATGTGTTTGAGCTAAACCTTGAAACACAATAGGGAAACATTCTGCAGCTGGTGTTAGGGTTGTCGGAACATGCATACATTTTATTCTCCCTCAGGCAATCTCTTGATGTTCGTCATTTGATGGATCCTAACGTTCGTTTGACACCCATTTGATTTTCCCGTACACATGCAGAGAGTATGGGCTGCCATGCATGCACATGTATGCGGTACTGCTCCACATCATCAAGCCGGCACGTGGCAACGAGTATGCGGATGTCCAACCTGTGGTTCAAGCCATGATCCACAGGTGTTACACTTCAAACGCTTTGAAGGAGCTCTACAGCACGGAGATTCGCACTCTTGACCGCACTGAGCTCGTGCCAGATCAGACAACTGAGGCACCAATATACCCAAAAAAGTCGGGGAGGCCACGCAACAACTGGTTGAGGTCCCACGGTGAGATTGATGGGAGGAAGCTGCGTAGATGTGGGAAGTGTGGGGAGAAAGGGCACAATCGAAAGACTTGTGATTTGCGCAAACAAAGGAGAGACGTGTGGGAGGCACTTCACACTCCGGAAGGGCACATGAGTGTGCAAACAGCTACGCAAGCAGAGGCTGAGGTGAATGTGGTGCTGTGTGGTGCATGCAATGTAAGGCACCACAGGGATGTACTGTGCGAGCCTAGGAGGCAACCTCGTGAACATGAGCAACCACAAACTGGGGTGGGGGTGGTGGACGGTAGCGCGACTCACGCGGGGGATGGTGGTGAGAATGAAGGTGTTGAGGTATCGGACGAGGAGGAGGACGGGAGTTCGGAGTCGGAGGGGGAGGGAGAAGAGCAGCCGGTAGATGCGGGTGCTGGTGTCCAACAGGCTGTCCCAACAGTACTCCGTGAAGTTTTTGGCGAGGCATTTAACGGGCTCAACACCTCAGGAACCAACAGAAACTTGCGCCCGGGAGGGGTGGGGTTATCAAATCCAACAGCGGCTGAGAGTGGGGGATGCGGGGAGAGCGGAAGAGTATCCGAGAGTGGAGGATTGGGGGAGTGGGAAGGAGGATACGCGAGCGGGGCAGAGAGGGGAGGAGCATCAGCGGGTGGGGAATGGAGGAGAGGAGCAGCCGAGAGTGGGGCGGGGAGGGCAGGAGCAGAGAGTGGGGCGGGGAGGGCAGGAGCAGAGAGTGGGGCATGGAGGGCAGGAGCAGAGAGTGGGGCATGGAGGGCAGGAGCAGAGAGTGGGGCATGGAGGGCAGGAGCAGCCGAGATCGGGACAGGGAGGGGAGCAGCCGAGATCGGGACAGGGAGGGGAGCAGCCGAGATCGGGACAGGGGGAGGAGCAGCCGGGAGCGGGGCAGGGAGGGGAGGAGCAGCAGGGAGCGGGGCAGGGAGGGGAGGAGTACCAGGGAGCGGGGGGGGAAGGGGAGGAGTAGCAGGGAGCGGGGGGGGAAGGGGAGGAGTAGCAGGGAGCGGGGCAGGGAGGGGAGGAGTAGCAGGGAGCGGGGCAGGGAGGGAAGGAGCAGCAGGGAGCGGGGCAGGGAGGGGAGGAGTACCAGGGAGCGGGGGGGAGAGGGAAG